GCCATCGGTGGTACTTATTTGGGTCCGGCGATGGAAATTTGCCGACTTGGCGTCAACTATCTTTGGGCATGGATTTTGGTTTCCTTTTTATCGTTTTACGTGGTATTCTTTTGCTTTTCTTGAATGCTGTATCTCTGTCTCTCTCTCTCTCCCCTACAGATTCTTCTTCTTCTTCTTCCTCAAATCATACTAAATCAAACACTCACAAAATTTAACAACCACAACAATGCAAAAACTATTATTTGTACCACCTCACAACCACCAACTGAGTGGCCAGGGCCGCGAGCTCGAAGCTCGAGTGGCCATGGCCTTGAATTTCGTGGCTCGAAAAGATCTTCCGGCCATGATCACATCGAGCTCAAAGTTCAAGTTGCCATGGTTGCAACAAGCTCAAATTGAGCGGCCATGGTCAAGAGCTTGAGTAGGCGATGGCATCCGCGAGCTTGAGCATGAATGGCCCCGGTGGCCGGGAGCTTAGAGCTTTAGTTGGTAGTTATGGTTGTCGTAATGGACTCACCCATCTCTCTCCCTCTCTCTCTTTCAATTTGTTTTTTTTTCTTATATTGCTTGACGTGGTGCCAATTTGGTGCCACGTAAATTGAGCAAGTCATAGCTCGACATGTGTATAAGTGTGTCCAAGTCAATAATCAGACGGTCTATGTCGGCAAAAATCGACCATCAAAAGAAAAAAGTATAACCCTCTTGACGTTCTTTAAAAAGTAGCCGAGCGATTTTCGAAAAGTAAAAAAAGAACAGTAAGAAGAATGATTTTGATTTTTGAGTTAATAATAATGACTAATTGTGACATTACCCGTTTCTTTCTCTTTTTTTGCAATTGCTAGCTTCTACACACCGGCACACCCTCAAGCCTAAGAGGTAGGGATCGAAATATGTACCTGCCCTGTCCAAATGCGAGGGTAGCTAATTAGGCCAAGCCTAAGTCGATTGATGTGAACTTATCTTAGATCCACTTTACTAGGGAAAATTCTTTTCATAAAAGCATCATCGATCTCATTATGCAAAGTAAAATATGTAAAGTAAGCTACACGTCTTGACATAATCTGAGTAAATTCACTAGACAAACAATGGTAGATATGTTTGGGAAGCGAATTCGCAAGCATCCATTTCTCTGCTTCGGAAATAAATTACGTCGCTTCATTTTGGGCGACACACTCATTTCTCATATTAGAAGCATGCTCAAGTATTTTCGACGGGTCAAGATTTTCCATAATTTCAGGGAGGGAAATGCACATGTAGATAGGCCGGCGAAATTGGGTTATCCAACCCAACAATGGGGGTGATAATTACGTATTAGAGAGCCCGCTGATAGATTTGCTTCCTCTGTTCTTAGGAGAGTAACGACGTAATTTCCGGGCTCTATCTCTTTTCTTACAAAAAAAAAAAGTAGAAAATACGTCGCAACGGAGCGAGATCTGGATCAGAAAGGGACGTGGCACGACATTGCCATCCTCATCCCCGCCCCAGCGACACCAAAACCAGCCTACCAATTCCACCAAATCAAAACGCGGATGAAAAGCCACTAGGACTAGGAGGGCTACTTAGCAATACAGCGGAGGTGGTGGTGGGTGGGTGGGTAGGTCGTGGAATACCGGCTTCTGGAGCATCGCGACGCGCACTTACAAAAGCCCTAAACAAAATCCCCACGAATTCGCCCAACCTCCCCACGCCATCTCCGGGAATCGCAGCCACACATTACCTCCCCCCCCCTTCCTTCCTTTTCTCTTTCTCTTTCTCTTTCTCTTTCTCTCCTTTTCTTCTTCTTTTCTCGGCTTTTGATGGAGAACCGCGGGGACGATAAGGTGTGCACAGCACGCAACAGCGTTGTGAGGGGTTCGGGTCGGTCAGATCTTTTCAATTCTTTAATCTCTTCGTTTCTTTTTTCCAAAATTTTCCGGAAATTAAAAAGATAAAAGAGAAATGATTTCCGATATGAGGAAAAGGGGAAGAGGGATCACCACCGGTGCATTTCGGCCATGATTTGTCGCATCGAGTGGTGTGGTGGGTTTTTGCCTTTTACGGGGCCAGCTGTTCCTCCCCCATTGGGCCCAAGCTCCACCCCCTCCACGTCCTCCATCATTGTATCCCATCACAACAAAACTGGTTCACACCCGTTTCTTAAGCATTCAATAAATAATTTTTGAATTTATAAAATGAAAAACCCAAATGGATATACTTATAACAAATTTACTCCAAGTTAATTTTCTGACCACTTAAAACCTCAGACTGATACACTTATGACAAATTTATCCTCTTATGAATTGGATTAATAATAGTAAATTTGTGACAAACGGAGGGGAAAATCATGAACCGGTACACCCATCAACTGTTTTTTTTTTTTTTGGTAACTCAGGGAACCCCCGCACGGCCGACAGCCGGGGGGTAAACCCTGGGGGCGACACGTGCTAGCCACCACACACGTGCCACCGGTTAAGTCACCCTGCGGCGCCCGGGATTCGAACGCTCAACTTTTTGCGAGAGGAAGAGTGCTCGCTCCAGCGACGCCACCTAGGCGGGTGGTTACACCCATCAACTGTTACGTATCATCTAATTCATAAATTTGATAGTAAAATCTAGCGGAAACTAACGAATGATAAATTTGTCACAGGTGTACCGGTTTGGAGTTTTTAGTGGTCAAAATATTAGTTTGGAGCCAATTTGTCACGGTGTACCAGTTTGGGGTTTTTCGTGGTATTAACCCATAATTTTTTAATTACTAATACACTTTTTTTTTTGCTAAATTGCGATCCACATTGTGAGGAATAATCCTTCCCTTAAACATTACAATATTTTTTTCCAAATCAGTGATCCCCTTGGAAGTTCTTGGGCGGGAGTGCTTGCTGTAAATTACATTTCGATTCTTGTGATTATTGTAAGTTATCAGGTGCAAAAATCATTAAGTGAACATTCGACCTCAGAGGATAAGCTAAGTTGACCAAAAATCACTCCATCAGATCGATCGCGCATGTGAATGCTATCAGCCCGAAACGAAATTTGCATGAGAAATTTCAACACCGCTAATATACTAGGATATCGTATGGAATGACAAAAAGAAAAATTTTGGTCCCACCATAAAAGAAAAAATAAAATGGTTCATACTATGGAAAACCTAAACTGGTATATCTGTGATAAATTTACCCAAACCAACTCCAAACTGGTACACCTGTGACAAATTTACCCTCCATTGATTTCTCTTAAATTTTACTGTCAAATTACTGAGTTAGATGACACGTGGCAGTTAACAGGTGTACCAATTTAGGGTTTTTATCCCTTTGTTTGTCACAGATTTATCCGTTTGTAGTTTTTCGTGATATTAATCCAATTTAACGAAGGGTAAATTCATCACAAGTATACCAATTTGGGGTTTTTGGTGGTTAAAAAATTAATTTTTGGTAAATTTGCCACATGTGTACCAATTTGGAGTTTTTCGCGGTTAAAAAATTAGTTTTAGGTAAATTTATCACGGATGTACTAATTTGTAATTTTTCGTGATATTAACCCTTTAAAAAATAATCTTTCCGTTGAACATGACAGTATTTTCAAATTAGTAATCCCCTTGAAATTTTTTGGGCGGGGGTAGTTGCTGTTAATTATAACTTAGGTTCTCTTGATTATCCTAAGTTTTTCTTGTGCGGAAATCATTAAGTGAACATTCAACCTTAAATGATAAGCTAAGTTGACCAAAAATCACTCCATTTGATTGAGCGTGCGAGTGAAGGCTATGAGCCCGACATGAAATTTGCACGAGAAATTCCAACACTGCTAATATAATAAGATATCATATGGTAAGACAAAGGAACAAATATGGCCTAACCATAAAAGAAAAAAGGAAAGGGTTAATACCACGGAATGCCCAAAATTATTTTTTTGATCACAAAAATCTCCAAACTGATATGCCTTTGACAAATTTACCCAAAACTAATTTCTTGACCATTAAAACCTTCAAACCGGTACACTTGTGACAAATTTATCCTCCGTTAGTTTCCGTTAAATTGGATTAATACCACGAAAAATCTCAAACTTGGTCATGAATGGTAAAACCCAAAATCGGTACACCTGTCAACTGCCATGTGTCATCCAACTCAGCAAATTAACAGTAAAATTTAATAAAAACTAACAGAGAGTAAATTTGTCACAAGTGTACTAGTTTGTGATTTTTTGAGACAAAAAAATAAGTTTAATTTTTGTCACATGCGTATTAGTTTGGGTTTTCATAGTATTAACCCAAAAAAAAACCCGAGAGCAAAGTAATGTCTTAGAGCACGATCAACAAAAAAAAAGAAAAAGATGAAGACTAATGTCTTAGAGCATACCGACCGGAAGGCCCAACTTGCAGATGGACCGGGCTCAGCTGTGGCCTACGTTAAAAGAAGGCATGAGAAGAAATGGAATTCATGGCAATTATTGATTTTCACTCATAATGAGCATTAGCTCAAGACGGTTCTAACATCAATTGTTAGACCAAGGTTTAGCAGAAACTTACGATATGGAGATCGATGAATTCTACTGACCTTCGAATTTTAATATAACTTCGCATATTGCCGTCACCAACCGATCGTACAAATGTCCTAAGTCAATTTTTTGAAACATGATGTTAAGCACGTTCCGCCCAAAGATTTACTTTGGATAGAATAAAAGTTTGTCCTACACACAGATTTTAGTATCGATTCTCCAGGACATATATCCTTGGCAGATTAACGTATTGGCAACTTTGGCTGAATGGGTTAAGGCCGGTCTTCACGGACGAAAAAACTATACGCACACGGGAAGATGGAAGTGTGGAGGTTCATGGCACTTGCTTCATTTTTTTTCTTTTGTTTTCTGCTTCGTCTTTTTTTAAAGCCGTGTGCTTGAAAGACAATATTATTCATCTTTTTAATTCAACTAATATACAATAGCACCAAGAAACAAGGAGGGAATACATTAGAAACAAGCCTTCATAAGGAAAATGACATTACGAGCTGTCATGGTGACATCTTTATTCGCTGAACTTACAATGCTAGTTTACAGAGACAACTTCTCAAACAATTTCAATGTCCATGAAATTTGATGGCCTTCCTCTTTGGCTTCTCCATCCACCCGGCTACTCTTCTCTCTAACAATTTCACACATCGTGTGAGCCATTTGGGTCTTTCCGTTTCAAATGCAATGTATGCTATCGAAATCCCAATTACGATTCCTGATGCATAACCTATCCACAATACTTTCTGTTTGAACCAACTCTCATGCCCTTCGTGGTTGAAAGTTGATGTGGACGATGGCGGAGGAGGTTGAGCATCGCCGGGGCATGCTTTTGGTAATGGAGTTCCACATAAGCCTGGATTCCCACTAAACGAGTCGCTTGAAAATGTGCTCAGTTGCTTATCTTGAGGAACTCGACCAGTGAGTTGGTTCCTCGAGAGGTTTAAGTACCCAAAGGATGCCAAATCTCCCAATTTTCTAGGAATTACCCCACTAAGCTTGTTCGAAGAAAGATCAAGCCATCCAAGATTAGTCAAGTTCCCTAGAGTCGGAGAGATGGAACCTGTGAGATAGTTATGAGAAAGGTTGAGCCCTACAAGAAAGTGAAGATGTCCAAAAACTTTGGGGATTTTTCCTTGGAAAGAGTTGTGCGACAAGTCAATAACTGTGAGGAAGGTCAAGATCTTCAATAGCTCAATCTCTTGCCCTTTCATGGTCAGGGTCACGGAATTTTCATATGGCCTCAATAGCTTACCTTGTTCCCCAAGATATCGTATCATATATAATGATTTGTCCGTCCTATTTCTGCCATTCATCATGGCTTTAAGGTTAATTATCAAGTTGACTGGCAAAGGACCGCTGAAGTTGTTGTTGGAGAGGTCCAAAATGTGTAACTTGGGAAAGAGATGAGCTCCTCTGGGAATATTCAAAAGATCCTTCAAATTGTTGGACTTCAAAACAAGAACTTTTAGTTCTGGGAGTGTTCCCAACCAACTTGGGAACGTATCCTCAATATGATTGTCACCGAGATCCAAAACTTCCATATATGAACATTTGACAAGCAACTGGGGCAATATGCCTTACTGATTTCGACTCAAGTCAAGAGTCATCAAGTTACATCTCAAAGAAAACGATTGAGGAATTGTGCCGTCAAGGTTATTCATTCCTAAGTTCAAAACTGATAGACTGGTGCTAAAATTTGGTAAGCACTGAGGCAAGCTGCCTGTTAAGCTGTTGTTGGAAAAGTCAATGATCTGGAGCTCCATAGCGTTGCATATCAAAGAGGGGATCTTTCCTGTTATTTTATTACTTGCGATGGAATAATAAAATGTGACAGGAGATGGAAGTGGAATTGGCCCTCCAAATTTGTTTTTGGACAAATTTATAATTGCCAATGAGGTGTTTAAGAAAATCTTGGTGGGCCACCGTCCAATGAAATTGTTGTTGGAAATAGACAAAGTTTGAAGAGCAGGGAAGGAGAGTCCAAAGGTAGTGAGGTTGATCCTACCATGAAATTTGTTTGATTGCAAACTAAGGAGCTGTAGTAGCGGTGCTTCTATCCAATGTGGGAAGATATCACTGAACTCGTCGTAACTGATCTCCAGTGATAATAATTTCACGCATTTGACTAGGGAGCGCGGTAATGGTCCTTGTAATTTATTTCCGCTCAAGGCTAGATCGTAAATATTGGTTATATTACCAAAACATGATGGTATATTCCCGGAGAGATTATTGTTAGACAAATCTAAAATTTGGAGTGAACTTAATTGGCAAATCGAAGAGGGGATCTCACCGGTGAAACGATTGTTGTAGGCAAAAAATATAAAAGCTGAAGATGGAAGGATCGGGAGTGGTCCTTGGAATGAGTTTTCGTGGAAGTAAATAGATGACAATCTCTTCCAGTGCAATTGTGGTACAACTCCCTCCAGAAGGTTATTAGAAAGATCTAATGTTTCCAATGTATCATGACTTATTCCCCAAAACCACCTAGGGATCTCCCCACTAATCCTATTTGAAGAGAGGTCTAAGTACGTTAATCTTTTCAACGAATTCAAGAAATAGGGAAACTTGGTCAAGTTGCAATAAGACAACCCCAAAACTTCAAGCTTCGGGAACGTATACTTCAGTGTATCATAGATTAGATTTAGTTCTAGAGAAATCATAAGCTTTCGGAGATTTTTAAGTTTTGTAAAGATTTCAAAATCTACAACACCACTAAAGCTATTCCCGGCAATATATAAAACTTGGAGTTGCTTGAGATCTACCAATGATGATGGGATGTGTCCCGTGAATTCACACCCTATAAGATCTAAAACTGTTAAACTCTCCAAGGTACTAATTGAATCGGGTATTTCTCCTGAAAAGCTTGTATACGCGACAGACAAAGACTCAAGAGGGCCAGTCCAATTGGATTTGGGAAGAATTCCGGACACGTCATTGAAACTTATATTGAGATTACTAAGGCTCGGTAATCGAAAAACAGTGTCCGGAAATATCCCTCCTAAGGAACAAAAAACAGCGCTTAAATATGTCAAAGAGGAAGACAAATTCGCAAAGGACTTTGGTGAAACCATGGACATGTCTACTTCATCAAGAACAAGCTTTCTCAATGCTGTTAGATTCTGAGCAAGTATCGTGAAGACTGAATTTTCCAATCTAAGAGAAGAGAATGGGTATGGGTAGGAAATATAATTGACAGAGAGATCAAGTGATACCAGCTTGGAGAGGCGAGAGATTTCACTGGGAACGGCACCCCGAAAGTGTGAACGAGAGAGATTCAGATGGGTCAATTTTACAAATGCACTTAGATTATACGAAATATGTGAGCCAGCAAAATTATTACCAGAAAGGTTGAGGCTCTGAAGATGGCGAAGGAGAAAGAGGGAGCTATTGGAGTGGAGAGTGCCACGAAGCCAACTGCAAGTAAGATCAAGACCAATGACATTACCCATGACACCATCGCACGTGACCCCGTCCCACGAGCAGCAGTCCACGCCCTTGTTCCACGAGTTTGTCTTCGGATAAGATATGACATGGTCATACCCACCACACAAGTCCGATGCCTCGCTATCAAGCACGAACGAATTCTTAAAATGGAGCAAGGCATCGCGTTGATCAGGAGGGCAAAGGGGCGAGACAGAGCGAAGGGAGGAATGCAAGAAAGGGAGGAAACAGAGGAGGACGAGGGTTTGATGCCACCCCATTCTGCAAATTAGCATGCGAGCGAGCGAGTATATTGTTGGTGGAGACTGGAGAGTGCTTCCACTTATACAGCCCTTTTATAGTGCAAAGTGATGATCCACGCAAGTCTCCTCTCGAAGTTCGAAGTCAAAAGTCTTCTTAAAATAAGATTATCAGGGTCATAGATTTCCACGGGAAAGTCTTGGTGGGTGTCCTTGCGCGCCCGGTGTCTTGCCACGTGTACTACCCCCATGCCACGGCGCCAACAACTCTATTCGACGATCGACAATCTTGACTGTCCTAAATTCTTTAACTGCATTTTCTGTGGGCACTTGGAGATGAGCTAAAGAATATGCTCGTCGATGCCCCAGCGACAAGTATAACTAGGAAATTGTCATTACGATAAAATAAGAACTTTCAGACCTGTCGAAATCTTTTCACTTCTTCACACGATTACTAAGGTGTTCATATTACTGTAGATTCTTTAAACGTGTATATCATAAGGTCTTAGAGGATGTTGGGGCACAAAATTGAACATTTATGCTTTGATCATGTGAACACAACATTCGCCATGTTTTCCTTGTATGGTGATGGAAAAGGTGCCCGAATAATTGATCGTCTCGGAAAATAATTAAGTTAATGGACGGAATTTCATAGATCCGGAATTTACGTAAAGTGGGGCTATCTCGTTATCGAAGTAAATCTTTTATTTGCTTTGCTTTTTTTTTTTTCAATGATAAAACCGATTTTGTTGTCAACCATGATTCAGGAATTTTACGAGATTGTCCGACCTTGGTTGAGTTGGAATATGGCGTGAGCCTACTCATTCTAAAGGTTGGAGACACGATGATTGCTTGCGAACATAGTGATTGCTAGCGAACTAAGTTCGCATAGCTTTATCCATGACCGGGACTCTATAATTAAGCATTGTCTTCGATGGTTGTGTCCCACTTTACGTAAATTTAGAGTCGAAAAGATTTAATTTGGTGGGCGGTACTTCATAGATATGGAATTTACATAAAGTGGGGCTATCTCGTTATTGAAAAATTTTGTGGCTCGTGATTTAGTTGCGGTTTTTGATCAATTGATGGTTCATAACGGCAAACGATCTTCTTCGTGTTGGACTCTTGCTCACTTCTTTGAACGCATGAGCTCCGGTTAACCAAATTTAGAGTCGAAAAGATTTAATTTGGAAGCCATATAAATATAATAATTTGATTAGACAAATTAAAAGTCCAAGGGCTTTGCATTGCCCTTATAGGCAAGGCACACTATTTCTATATATTTTTTTGGATTGTCAAGGTGCACTACTTGACAACATAATGAATTACATCATCTCAATTCCATTCTTTTCATTTTTCAAATCGCGTGGAATTCTAATGGGTTTACTTTACACGCATTAGAGTTAGAACGGGCTGAAAAAGTGCCATTAGAAAGTGTAAAATACCATCAGTCTCTCCAGTTTTACTCGAAAAACAAATCCCTCTATCCTCTTTTGAACCTAAAAAAAAGTAGAGGGAAGATATAAACTTTCGAATAAAAGCACCAACGGTGATACTCTCCTTTTGGTTTTTTTTTGGTCCCATCCTCAAATCTTAGAGGTAGGGACCGAACTCCCTACCACCTCCGCAATCGATTCGATATGAACTTGTCTCAGATCCAAATCCGTTTCATAAAAGCATCATCAATCTGGTTGGACGAGTGAAACATGTCAAGTGAGTTAACTATCTTCACATATTCCTAATAAATTCACGATATCAAGTGTAATTGCGTAAAAGAAAATATATTCCATTGGAAAATAAATGATAAATAAATCCAATATGGGAAATAGAAGGGATCCAGTGCATTTCCGCCGTGATTTGTCGCCTCGAGTGGTGTGGTTTTGCTTTGAGGACCAGCTGTTGCTCCTACTGGCCCAGCACCGCCCTCGCCTTCCTTATCCTCCCTCCATTATTGTCTCCGATCTAAAAAAATTGGTTCGTTTTCAATTTATTAAGCATTTTTAATCGATATAAATTACTAATAAACTCGTGATGCACATTATGGAAAATTAGTCGCTCTCTTAAACATTATAGCATTTCCGCATCTAGTTACTAAACAGAAGGCTTGTCTATTTAAAATTTAACGGCGAAAGTAAAAAATACGTCAACGGTTAAAATATTGTTCTAACTTTAAAATTATGAGCAAATTATATGTAAATTCACGTGTCAATAATTCATAAGTTGTGAATAAATTAGGGATTTCAGATCTAACAAAAGCCCAAGCGTGTTTACTGCGAGATTTTAATAATGAGGGAGTCAATCCTTCGGTTCTTATCCTAGGTTTTTGTGTGCAAAAATCATTAAATGAATGTTCAACCTAAAATGTTAAGGTAAGCTGACCGAAATCACTCTATTAAATTGAATGCGTACATCAAACGTATGAGTTGAAATGAAACTTCTTAGAGAAATTCCACACGTTACTTATATAGTAAGATACCGTATAACGAATACACAAAGATACACGACGCGATTAAAGTAAGAGACAGTCCAAATTAAAAAGGAACCAAAAAAAAAGAAAAAAATATGACCCGAACATTAAAAAGAAAATATAGAGCAAGGTATGGTCTTAAAGCGTACTGGCTGGAAGGCCCAACATGTGGATGGACCAGCCTCAGCAAGGGGACTATGGAGAAAGAGGGCTTGAAAAGAAAACTATTGGTAATTGATTTTCACTCATAAAGAAAGAGCATAGTTAAAAAGATGGTTCTGAATGTTACTTTGATGAACATGATGCGTGCAACCAAATTCATATTGACCGCAATACACGATGAAATCTCGTCAAAGCGGACGAATCAGCTGATACTTGCTCTCCTAGTGGAAAG